ATTAACAAACAGTGCAAACGATCGATAGAAAAAGCTCCCGGAAGATTCCACACCATGAGAATCGAAAATGTTTGCATTACTTTGGGACTTTTGGAAAGCAAAATTGATATCGCGAATATATACCTTGCCTAGCATTATTTCGGCTATTTATGACTTCAAGATTGTGACCCCCGGAAGCCGCTACGCCTCTGCCAGGCCACGCGCAAGTGGCAAAATGGCTGCAGCAGCAGGACTGCTATGGTAAAGAATTGAAAACCGAATTGATTAGGGTATGATTAATTTTGAGAAAAACAAATTCGTGCGTACAAAGAAATTTCTTTCTTTTCATAATGCTTCTGTGCAAGAAGCTGTCTCTAATTTACACACAATATTGTGCGATATCCATGATGCTTGCAAAAAGCACCGTATAGTCTGATAATGCTAGTTTGCACGAAGTTGTTTCGCACTTACCAACAATGCCAAGACCTTTTTTTTGAAGCTGCAAAAGGCACTCGAGCAGAAGGTCATTCAGAATATAGAGCAAATGACCGCCGCAGTCACAACAAGCTAGAATGAATAATGCACATATGTGTATGTATGTCAAAAGATACAGATCGAAAATAGATCAATGCAATATTGCCAAATAGATGCAAAATCTTTCAAAATATCAAACAGGTTGAAAATTTATCAATACAATATTGCTACACAAATATACTCTATCAAAGCATCAAATACAAATATTAAATTTGCAACGCGTTCACGCATATACCTATTAAAAATAAAGTATTATGATAAGAATTTATTCCCTTACATATATGTTCGAACGTTGCAATGGAAAGCACTAGCGCACGCGTCCAAGAAATGCTTAATGTGTGCGTAGGAACGAAAAGAGAAATCAGGGTCAATCGTTACGAATAAATTCGAAATAAATGAAGGCTCTCTATGGTGGATCATGCGGGATTCGAATCCGCGATCGACAACGTCGAAATGTAACGGAATTATTTAATAATATATGTCCCAAGACAAGAGCAAAACATATAAAATTTGTTATAATCGAAATATTTCAAAATCCAATTATTTAGGCAGAAGACCAAATCGCAATCGAAACCATAAACCAATTATAAAGAAACCAAATTCAAATCCACATATATATTTATTCGATTTTATCCCAATCCATAATATTAATAATAAATATATAAATCCTTTCAAATGTTTTTTCTTATATAAATTTTGTTTATTTATATTTATTTATATAATTTATCCATTATATAAATATATAAAATATATCTTATTAAATATATCAATATTAAATTTAAAATATTATCATTATCCAAATTTATATATTTAATTAAATGAATATTTAAAATATGTTTAATATCTATATATTTTATGTTAATATATAGTTTTTTTAAAAAACAACCAAAATTATTCAATAAATTTTACATATTTATTAAATCGAAAAATTATATACGAATCAACAATTATTTTCATAAAATATTATAATAATATATTATTTACCAACCAAATTCATAAAGTATTTTCATTATAATATAATTTCAATAATATCCATAGTTATCAATCAATATTAAGAAATTTATATATATATATAAATAAATAATATATTTTATGTAAAATTCAATAAATTAAATCATATCAACCACAACATATTATCCTACAAATAAATTAAAATTATACATATAATTTAAAAAATTATTTAAAAACCCCTTCAAATATATTTAAATATATCCTATTCATTCATTCATTCACGACCGGCGGAGCGAATCCGCCCGTGTTGGGCGAGCAATCGACGAAAATCAATCGGCGATCTCGAAGGACAGCTAGCCCGGGCGGCTCTAGCAGCAATCAAGCGCGAAAAAGTGGCACGAACGGGTTTAGTCGGTTGACCACTATACGGTGTCAAGTTGTCGATTCGTGTCAGCCAAACAACATAAATGTCTTCATCCATAGCTGTCAAGTGTGGGACAAAGATGGGTACTCGATCATCATCACACAGAAATCTGCCGCCCCCCGTGCGGAGGACGGAGGCATTGATAGTGACCTGCGGTCGATTCATGACCTCGGTGCAAGGCAGTTGCAACGACCTGAAATTCAATCCATATGACCGTCCATCCGGATAAATGCATGAAGCACGGCATCAAGACATGTTGTCGATTCCAACTAATCAAAGTCTTAGAACGAATGCCAAGTACTACTGGAAACCGATCGATCTGCAAGCAAACTATAGTAGCGGAGCCAACTAGCCCTAAACAGTACGGGAGTTGGGAGTACCACATGTAAACAAGATCTTACAATGTGCATCCGACGGGCTTTTCTTCTTTCATGACGATTGGCGAGCAGGTCCAGTCCCAATCCTCTATCGAGGTTTCAAAACGAACCTCCCAGCGAGGCGCCTACAAAGCCGTCGTAAAAAGCGGACGGTGCATAGTGAGGCTAAACCAACCTAAGAATTCAACCCCATCGTGCTAAGCCCCCTTGGCATATAAAGCGAACCAGCCATCAAGCAAGATTCCCAAACAACTTGGGTCAGTGAGCCACAGTGAGCTAAGACCCCGGTCCAGCAGCCTAATAAGTAATTCCTTCCAAGTGCCAAGCATCTCCCAAGAAAAGGTGTTATCCATATAACAGGCCCAAAGTTCACCGATCAAAGCGATGTTCATGCAGCAATCGTTAGCATCATTGCCAAGGCTCATCTCCAACAACAAAGTCCTCATCTTTTAAGGATCCGGGCCACCACTTGTGCCAAGGGTGATCGTTGTATCCTAATTCAATAATATATTTCGTTTTCAAATAAAAATACCCTATAATAAATTCAATTCCCAAACATTCAAAAAAATTAAAATCAATACCTTATTATATATATTATACAAACCAAAATGTATCAATACCCAAATTCCGAAATAAATAATTTCAAAAAGAATAATTTCAATAATAATACCCTATAACGACACCAACATCCAAATTCCAATACACACACAACCACACTTCTTATCCATCGAAAAAATAAATCCCAAGAAAAATCGAACCATAATATCACCGAATCATCTAATAATAAATTTAAAAAATATAAGTGTTATTAAAACCTCCAAATTTTAAAATCAAAATCCAAAATTCTAAATCTTAAATAATGTTCGAGAAAGAAAAATATTCCCAAGAAATTATAAATATGTGATCTTTCTTTTTATCCTTATACCGAAGTCCGGCGAACAATTTTAAACAATCATATCATATAATAAATTCTATTTTATATAATAGTAATTATTATTGTTATTGATATGAATAGTATATATAAATGTATATTGTAATATCAAATATATATATATATTGTAATATTTTCATTTACCTGGTATCAAATGAATAGTTGGAATTCAAGTAATTCAATGTATATATGGTATGTGTGGGTTGGTGATTTTCCCAGCCTGTATTGGTATGTTTTGCCAGGTGCCTGCCACAGCAAATCAGCAAATCTGGCAAGAGTGGAAGTCAGTTACATGTTTCCATCATGTTGTAGGGTGGTGTCGGTTGCCTGAGTCATGAAGTAGTGGCAGAAATCATAGGAGGTCCAGTTGTCAAAGCTGAAAAACTTGTCTTGAACCTCTCAAAATTGATTCTGCTCTGCTCAATGTTGTTGAAGATGTTAGATTCCCGAACCTCGCCCAATTGCTGTAAAAGCTCACCAGGTCGCAAGGGTCGCTCAAAGACCTCCAATTTGGATTGAAAATGAAACTTCAAGCGGTTTCTTAGTGGGCCACATTCGGCCACATTGCTTGTACTGCATTAGATGGCAATGCGTGCCTTGGATTGCACCAATAGTGTTTGAGGGAGACGTGCATCCATCCTTAGCTTCATGTCCCCGAGCACAGTCAATAGACTGGACAACACATGCTCAATGCAAGCATGTCATATAAGTCTGGTGCTCATCGAAAGCTAAGCCGTCTGGGCTCCAATCAAGCCGCAGCAGTCGGGGAACCTGAATTCAGAACCAAGCTCATCTGGCTTATTCACCACAGTGACACCACATCACCCTCGTGTGCAGGCCTTCTGGGGCACAACTGCGCGAACACCATTCTCAGCTGCCTCTCGCCACAACACAGAACTTACACTTGGGGTGTGCATTCCATGCCTCAGAAAGCTCCATTCGCTGATAAAGAAGGCTATACCTGTGATTCTGTATAACGCGCACCAGCAGAATTTTGGAAAGCCTGGCCTTGGAGTTTGTGAATCAGCTCCAGATTTTATCTGAGCCACAGTGAAGTGCCAGCAAATGACAATCGCAAGTGCAACCTCACCATTCGTGCCTGGAGCTTGTAAAGGAACGCAGAGTCAAACTCCTGATTCTTCTCTTCAAGTTTGGTCAGAAAGATCTCTAGGAATTCCTGGCAAACGCTGCAAACAAAGTTACGTTACGAGTCACGAGTAACACAGCTCTCACCCTGCAGACTGAGCACCACACATTGCGGCAGCTTGTATTTGATGAGCGAGCACCGCAGCAAGCTGCCATGTCAAGTTTCACAGCGACACCAAAAAAAAATTGCATCGCTTCTGGAGCGTGCGTAAGATGCATCAACTCTAAACAAAGCATGAAGCACCGGCTTTGGGGAAGACACCGCCAGTCGGCCTAAAAACAAAATGCAAATGCATGATATAGCTGTGATTCTCCAGTGGCACAAGCAAGCAAGTCCTTCCACAACGATAAAATGGTGAGGAGCCATTCTTTGACAGAAAATGGTCAATGCTCTCTGACTAAGATGAGGCATCGTTTCAAAGCCGATTTTGAAATAAAACGGCCCTTCAAGCCCGTGACACACTACGCCCGTGCTCTCTGGAGAGAAGCGGAAAACTAGACAGGTCTTTGTCGAAAGCAGATTGACGCATGAAACGAAGCCAAGTCCAACACGAGCCAGCTCCCATTGCACACCGAGTTTGTTGGGAAAGAAATGTATATCTTTGGACTGCTACTGTATACATATCATATATATCCATATATATATATATATGTATTTGCAGTACTTGTTTGACCTTTTGCAATATGGGTTTGCGCACTTGCGATTGTGATGCGCAGAAGTGTGTTCACTCAAAGAGCTTCCGATGATTGCATTGGCATGTCCTGCAAAACTTCCAAACGGCTGCAATGAACACCAAGGTACCCCGACCAAAAATCTGAGCAACTGCGTAACTCTGCATTTGACGCAAAGAATCAAAGCATCATGTCTTTTGTCTACTGCCGCCAGATCATTGCACACGTCTCGCACTTGTGAAATTGCTAGACTGGTTCTTTTGAGTTGAAAGCTTTGTCTCGATTGTTCTTTTGTTTTTGGCAAAACAATTTCTTTGACACTGGCAGCTCCTTTCAGGCATGATGCACATCTTCTCGACCTCACCAAAAGTGCCCGAACTCAGAACTCTCAAGGTGAAAGAATGCAGTCAAGGATTGTGAAGCACAAGCTCTGCATTGCATTGCGAGTCAGTGAAAATCGTAAGCCTTCTGGGACCGTGGCATTCTCAAGTTCTTGCGTTTCCAATGAGCTCGATGGCGCAAAGTCCCCACCAAAAAACAAAGTATCCGTAGTAATTCCACAAAGTATCCATACATTGAAGAAATCATGGACGTGGCATTTTGTGGAAGTAGAAAAAGGATTTTGAAACAAAAGAAAGCCCAAGAATCGGAGGACCGTGAGGATCGTGAGGACGATGTCCCGAAGCTTCTGATCGTCACCTGTCAATCAATCACTGTTGATCACTGTCTACTTCGGCTAGCGGCCCCGATGAAGCTTCCCTTCAGGCCCTGAGCACCCACTTTCACCCACTTTTCTAAGTGAGCACTCAACATCCGCAGGTTCCCAATCATGAAGCTTCTCAATCAGTTGGGGCACAGCCACAGGCAAAGCCACCATTCATATCCTGATTGTCCTGTGAAAACGACTCTGTAGTTTCATCCACGGGCTTGGAGCTAAAGAACCATGAGAACATGCAGAACATCACATCTGGAAGGTTTTGCTCACCATTTCCTCTTTTGCCACAAACCTCAACGCACAAGTCCGACAAGTCCTGGAGTTTTCCTCATGTTCTTCCGAAACGGGACAAACTTTCATGTGACAAACTTGGGCACTGAGTTTTGCCGATCATCGCCTTTCGCACCACCATGATTTGAGTGTTGTGCTGTTCCGGCCTAGACCTAGATGATGTCCGTTCCCTCTGACTCGTCCACACCATGCTCACCTGTGGCTAGCCATTTGCTCGCCTTGCCGTGATTGTTTGGAGTGTGCGAGAAGTCACTTGGAGTTCCACCGCCTTTGCTGCATGAAGGGACCTTTGTTTCCATGCGTTTGCGTCTGAAGCTGCATGCTATGGCCATTGCAGTAGAAGAGGACCTGCAGCAGCATAGCAGCGCCCTTGTCGTTTCCATTCCTCCCTTGCCATCCCTTGCTGTTTGCATTCGTGGACGCCGTGATAGTGGTGGATCACTCGACTTACTTGGTGAGCACCTGAGAACACCTCCTGACCATTTCGGGAAAAGGTTCCTTGGAGCCTTCACAGCTCTCTTCGTAGGTCTGGCAAAGAGACAAAGAGCGTCTTGGAAGGGCCGAGATTCGTAGACGAAGTGGATGGAGTTCGCTGCACCAGTTCGTATCCGCGCCTTTGAAAGCACAGCATTTTATGCTGAGCTTTCCCTGGAACTCCTATGTTTGCTACAACTACGGACCAACACCGTCTGATAGTCTTTACACCATTCAACAACAATCTGATCAATCTTCAATTCAAGAACAACTGACAACTAGTTTCTTTAAGATGGCGTGCTAGGACATTGTGACGTGACATGTTGCAAACATCCTACATGTTGCTGGCGCGGTCTCAGAAGTTCATGGTCAGCTCTTGTGGGGGTGCTTTCTCCTTCCAGCCTCCCGTGTGAAATTCAAACCAACGAATAACCACAAGGAATTCTAAAAGCAAGAAAGCTGAAATACAGAAACAGCGAAACGGAAACATGGCGCCTGGTTCTGCCTCCTTGCAGAAATCCTCTCTTGCTTTTCTTTCGGTGTTAGGTGTTTGTTGCGTTCTTGACGATTTTTTGTTTTGAAAGGGACTCAGACATGATTTGCAAAGAAATGGGCGGCATGACTTGGCATTCGTCAATGATGGAGCAGGGTCATAGGATGACGTTGTGAGATTACACGTGTTCACCCGCAGCATGCTCCATGGCGTAGTTCTCGGCCCAGCTGAACAAAGCTGCGAAGAGAACTTGAACGGGAGCCTCTCAAAGCGCTTCTCGGAGCGCTGCACTCGCCGGAGCACTTCCACACGAGAACTCGGAGAGGTACTGCAGTGGGTCTACTGTGCTGCAGAGCTGTGTGTGTGCAAGGCCACGTCAAGGCCAATGATGAACAGGCACGAAGCTGGATGGGAGAACATCAGTACACGGGGCGGAGCTCGGAAGGGCACATCTGGCGGGTTAAAACAAGCGAGGAAGGGCCCTTGAAGAAACAGGCCCACAACATGCCAATGAAGAAATCACCGTCACCATAGACCCAGCGTCTTGCTCCAGGCATGCCCTGAGCCTTAGTCACTGCATTCGCGTGTCGCCATCTGCTCAACAATTTATCCGGCGACCAAACACATACTTCCAATCTCTTCCAATCCTTCTGGCCTTCTGGGGGCTCTGGCGGAGAAGCTGCACCAGTCAACCCCCATGAGAACCATGCTGCCTAGCGGGTGTTCTTGTCCTTCTTATCAAACACAAAGCGCAGCATGCGCCTCTGACCAAACAGTACCTCCAAGAACTGTCGATGGAACCTCATCACATCTTACTGACACAAACTGCTAAACTTCCTCACATGCCAAAGGAATCAACCCAGAAACAACAAGGTGAAATGTCCGAATACCATTAGTTGCTTTCTACCAAAATCACACGGTTGAACGTTTGGCTCAAGGGCTGCGGCGGCTGAGTGAGTCAAAAGCGGACCGGGAAGTTGAAACCTCTCTCTCTACAAGTCAAGGCAACACAAGCATTTTATACATTATAAAGGTACATCACATCACATGAATGCTACACTTGTTACTGTACATCTCATTACACTATATCATTGCTAAGTCATGATCAGTAACCATGCAAAATCTGAGACTCCCGCATGGTGAGAGAGCCTGGTTTATCTTGAAAGGATGTGCCTAAGGAAGAGCAGCGCAACCAGAGTGTGGCTGATGTTGTTTCACTTGCAGGTAACGAAACCTGCGTTTGACTGAGGATCCTGCAGAGCTGCGACTCCCACACAACCAGGGAGCCATCACAATCGCCGAAAACAGCAAGGCCTGTTCCGAGTTCTCACAACCAATTCCAGAGCGGATTCGAACAGTATAATGTTCACGACGGCCACTACAGACCTGTTGCCCCCTTCAAAACAACCAAGCTAAGTTCTGCACGTCCAGTATGTCCAGTGGATGGGACCCAAAGAAGGGATGTCGCCTGTGTTCCAGTGGTGTCGCTTTGTTTCACAGCTCTCGAGCCCTCACAGGCCTCCCAACCCCCACCACAGAAGCTGCCAGTGGGTACAGTCCACAGAAGATGCGGCCTCTGAACACACTGGTCCACACTACAGCCAAAAACGCACAATCGAGTACATTCAGGATCTTGCGCAGACCCTTTGACATCATCTGGAGGCCAGGCCTTGCTCACTTGAAGAAAAGCCGTGGGTTGGACACATGAAACTCATGAAATGCGTACTTAAAATGTGTATAATGTGTGTATATATAATGTAACGACCTCTTCAGTAAGCCCCTGGAAAGGGCGCTTATGTTTTTCGCGTCCCTTGTCTTTTCCTTTGCACCTTTGAGCATTCAACGTCCTCAAGACCACAACACACTGGGTCTCCAGGCCCATCCACGGATCTCTTCCGGACAAGCCGTTGCCAGAAACTCTCCACCAGGCAAAACAGCCATACCTTGACATACACGGCCCAAAGAAAACATATTTGAGAGAGAACTTGAGTAAATACTGTCTGTATCTATTTTTGAAGGTCATCTGGCATGAGTATGTTTGGTGAGTATTTATACTTATCGTCTTTCAAGAGAGAATTGCATCTTGAGACTTCATCATGCTTTCATTCATTTGACTCTAGCTCATAGCACGATGCCAATAGTTATATATATATATAATGTTATATATATATATACATACTTGGATGTGCACATGGTGCTTTCGATCTGATCTGCGGCAACGAATGTAACGATTGATAGTAGAGGCCAGAACTTCTCCGCTCAAAAAGTGTAAGCCCCTGAAACAAAGTTGTTAGAGACACACGCAGCATCGTACTAAGCATCTGGCCCACAAGCATTTGACGATGAGGATTCCAAAAGTCCTCCCCATATAGTGTCAAATTACTGTTGCTGACAAGTTGTTGTTTGAAGTGGAACTATGTATAAGTTGAGTTCGAATTCCTGCGGCATTGCAAGTGGCTCCGTGGTATCTGCCTCGGGAAAAACAATTGGCACCAAGGCCAACGTTCATCTTTGTCTACCAAATGGGCTCAGCGGGTGCCTCAGATTGCCTACGAGCCTCACTCACTGTAGCCGACTTCTGGCAATTTGAGGCTCTACCCAATCTACTGAAAGGCATTGGGTTGTTATAACTAACATCACTTAGGCGTCTAAAAGGCCTGCTACGAACAACTTCGGACATCTGCAACACGACACAGGCGGCTAATCTGGATACCCCTTGCCAACCTCCTGTTTGTGCCAGACCACTGTGTGACACCATATGCCACACTTGAGAGGAAAAAGCCCCTGTTAAATGTCACATTTTAATGGCATGCACAGTACAGTACATCTACAGAATTGAATCGATCCCGGCGTGTGTTCGCTTCTCAGCGCGCAACCTGACACTGAAGCAGCGCTGAGCACTTCCAGACCTTGTCAAACAAAGGGTCCATTAGATCATTATTCTCGGGCGCGCATTAGCCACTCTTAGGCAACCATGAAACAAAACAACTTGAGCAGCCGAATGCAGCCAGAGTTTTAGGCAGGAGGAAATAGGCTGGAGGCTGGAGCTAGATGAACCGACCCAATGTTGATTATAAGGTTGGGGGTCAGGAAGTTCCTGCTTGCCCTTCGTATTGTTTCTGCAAGCAAAGTCACAAGAAAGGAGTATGATGGCCCACCAACGAAGCCCGCAAACCCAACAAAATCAGCGATGGCATCAAAATATCAAAGTGCTCTCAGAAAGTCAGGCCCGGCTGACGACAGCTCCAGCACAAACTATTCAATTGAGAAGTAGCAGTATTGCATTCAAGTCCTATCTTTATGAGCTGTGACACAAAAGTGGGGACTTGGCGAATCAAAATGGCAACCCTGAGAGGCAAAGGCTGTTTTCTTTGATAAATGGATGAACTGATCCTAGAGTCTAGCACAAACTAGCAAATAGCAGAAGGACTTATATAAAGTATTGGCTGATTGACCTCAGCGAACCGAAATCACTCTCACAGCACATCACAGCTCTTTTTGGCCGCATTGAGGAAACAAATGAAACATGAAGGATCATGAAGGTCTGAAACGTGGGTGTCACATCGCATAGGTCATTGCATGTCCACTTGCATGTCATTGCTACCCATGCTGGCCGATCTCATGAGTGCCTTCCGTGGAAGGTCGAAAACCCAACCACAACCTTCAGCGCCGCGATCCATTCGTCTCACCTCTTCCAATGCTCCGTTCAAGAACGTGGTCGTTGCAGTGGCTTTTACCCCAAAGTAGTCATGGGCGTGACCGAAGCAGTGGAATCTTGGAGGAGAACTCAGGTGGTTGAGTCGGTCAAGAAGAAGCTCGCAACCGCAGTCTGATTCACATAAGACTCTGTGTGGCGGCACATGCGTCATTAGCACATCAAGGCCTTCTGGTATCTTTGACCAAATCTGTTGCCTTTCATGTTTGCGCCGCTCAAATGCGTTGCTCAAGTAGCGTTTGCCAAGTGTTTCTTCTCGACAGCAACAAGTGGGACTTCCCCAGATTTTGAGACCCTGGTACTCAACTCCGGCGTTTTCCAGGTACACAGCATTAGACGGCAATTTTGAAAGGAAAAAGCGTTTTGCTTTGGCAGCCTCTCGAGGGTACCTCTCCTCATCAAGCAAAGTGTCATGATTCCCAGCAATAACAGCAATTAGCTTAAACTTGGGGCTTATCTTTGCCAGCCATTCCACAAAGTCTGCCAAATGTTTCAGAATATCCCTGTCCCCATAATTACCGACCAAATCCCCCGTGTGCAAGAGGACTTCGCCATCTGGTAAGTGGACATTCTTGTGGTGGTGATGTGTGTCCGAGATGTGGACAAACCTAATCGGTGCTGGTGAGGACAAAGCCGAGACTGTGAGCGGGCGCGGCAATGAATTGAGCATGTCCATCATTTCATCTACGAAACCATTCAAGCATGTGAGGGCTGGATGCGAAGATCCCAGTGACTTCTCTAGAGCACGATTTTGCTCGATTCGAAGGGCAACCACCGGATACTCTGCCGCACTCCTATAAAGGGGAAAGTGCTCTGGTGGTGCTTCATCATCTATTTCAGCTGCTGCAGGCTCTGGAGGGTGCCCATCAGTCGCAGAAGTGTCATGCAGAAAGGAGGCCCTGCTGGCTTGTGCAAACAGAATGAGCCGCTCTAGTGCATCTGCGGAGCATAACACCGCATCAGCGCCAGCATCTGTACAAGCCTGTGTCATACCGCTATATTTGCACGCTGTGTGGCTGAAAATCACCATAGTTGGAGGTGGTCGAAGCCGCTTGACAGTGGAAATCAAAGTACTTCTGTCAGCAGCACCATCAAAAATGAGGTCTGCTGGAGAAGTGCCAAGAGCCGCCACAACACCACCCCATGGGCCCTTGTTGTAAACGTGATCCAACGCCTCTTGGTTTGTTGAGATCCTGACCACAGAATAGTTGAACTTGCTGGCCACGCTTTTCACCACAGCGGTGGTCTCATCCCCAGCCAAGCAAAGAATTCTTGGGGCTGGGGCGACTAGCAAATCAGTAAGACCCTCGGCAGAACAAATCACAGCATCTGCTCCTGCTCTTCTACAACACGATGCAACACGTTGTTTCTCACATGCCGTCCAACTGAAGACAGCAACTAGAGGTGGTGGATCAAGCTGCTTCGCAGCCAAAATTAGGCTACTTTCCTTTCCTCGATCGAAAAGTATATCAATGCCTCTTCGTGTGCCAAGGGCTGCTACTACGGCAGTCCAGGGACCTTTGGAAATCTTGGACATGGCATCCGCCAGAGTGGTCACCTCTGTTACAGCTAGCCCATGATTTTGGGCCACCTGACGCACTGTTGCTGTGGTTTCAGCACCTGCCATACAAAGAATCCCTCCAGGAACAGGGCCTCTGCCAGATAGTGCATGGCTTGCTCCAGCACCCATAGCTTCACAACAAAGGCAGCTAAGACTCTTACTCTTGTGGTTAGGAGATGTCTTGCTGGCAACCCTGGTGACAATCTGGCAAATCCCAACTGGCGAAGATCATCTTGCATTCTTACGTGGTGCAGGGGCGCCATTTCGAAAGCAGCTTGGTTGCTCACGACCACTAAATGGCTTCGGCACAACCTGCTCAACCTGCTACATCCCAGGAATTGGTCAATATGCACGATTCGGACAAGGGCCTACGGCAAGTCTGTTTAGCCTTTTGGCCTTGCTATGCGTCGGTTTGGTTTGAGCCCATCCCAAACAAAGCGTGCCAAGGCAGACCCGAATCGCTTCGTCACACTGAACGAACACCTAGGTTGAAGCGAGAGTGAATTTTGTGAGTGAAGCTTTGTATGTGCTGTAATCAATCATCAAATGATTTCAGGTGTCTGTCCATACGAAGAGTTACTCCATTCAAATGACATCGAAGCTAGACATCTGAGGCTTAGGCGGATTGACCTTCTGCGATTATGCAAGGCCTGCCAAGTCCAAGTCTTTGACGTAGCTGTTGCACCCAACTATAGGTGCAAATTTGCGTTTAAACGTTTCATCATGATTTTGGTTAGTGGGAGTGGAGATAAATCGTGACTTCGGTGAAGTCGCACCTCGCTGCAAAAAGCAGTGGGACTTCTTGAAGGATGTCGCCGTGGCCTTAATTTTACACAGAGATCCTCAGAGAGTGAACCATGAAGTCTGGGAGGCTAACGTGAAGGGGCTGATCCCTACCTGTTTCCTGCCTGCAACGTACCCCAAACACTCCAATCAAGGCATAATGATTTGCTTGGATCCAAACGCAGGTTTACAACATACAAAGCTCTTCGGCTGGCAACGAGCCCGGTGCATCTGACCTCAGCTGCCAATTCAGGAACGCAGTTCAATACAGTTCAAACATGTTCAACCAGTCTTGTATCGGCAAAGCCATGAAGCTTGCACCTTACATCCAAAGCAAGCTTGGCATCACACGATGACCGGTGATTGAGGAGGAAGTAGCACCTTCAGGTGGGTGCTGACCTGCTCACAGCAACTGACAAAATCAAGCCCAAACAAAGCACTGTTGCATCCTGTTATTGCTGTTGCCAAGTCAATGAAATGTAGTGAATGTGTCTAAAGAAACCAAATGTGCCAAGTTCATGGTACCTGTTCGTCATGCGATGGAAGCAAAAAGATTCGGAGAGTTCCAGAGAACATCGCCGCCAAGAGCCAGCCATCGCCTGAGAGTAGGCCATCGTGTTGGACTACTTATATACTCAACTTCCAAACCTTCAAGCTCAGCCGTTCACCCACTGCCAGGCCACTGACCTCAATTTTAGGATGTGAAGCAACGAAGAAAGCAAAGCAAAGGATCTTGAGAAACTGGAAAAACATCGGAATTCTTGTTGGGTCTATATAGTATATAGGCAAAGCTCGTGTTTTTTCTCGAAAAGCCAGTCCAACGTCCACACTCTATGAATCATTGGATCGAACACCAGAGACTCCATCATCGGCCAAGGCAGCAACTCGTTGTGGACAGCCAACGGTCCAAAATCCTCATTATGCTGCAGGGTGGAAGCAAAGTCACAAACATTGAGACATCGAAATCTGGGAAGGAATGGAAACAGCTCAGTAGTGCTCTGGATTGCGATGTAGCATTTGGAGTCGCCACCAATTGCACCTGCAAAAAAGGGGTGAGGTCTGAGGTCGGCGTTCTTACTCCTAGTAGTAAGAATGCTCCTAGTAGTAAGGCCAGGAGCCCCTAGTAGCGTCCTTGCTCCTAGTAGGGATGCCAGGAGCCCCTAGTAGCTTCTTGCTCCTAGTAGTAAGAATGGTGAAAAGCATCTGGATTTATATAAAGAGCGCCTCCTTGATGCGTGAACCTTCCTGCTCCATGAGTTCAAGCACTTTGATACGGCCATCCTCTGATCGAAAACATGAAAGCAAAGATCACACCCATGACAATCGCCATTCAAACATTCACTCCTCGCAGCCAGCGTACAGGACAACTCTTGGCGCCAGCAAAAACTCTGCGATGATCAGCAAGAGCTGTGGACCACGCTGAGCCAAGCCTTTGAATTTTAGATGTGCAGCTAGGTTCAGCTAGGCAGGCGGTTAATTCCTGAGGCTGAAACGCCAGGGAAGGGAACCTTCACCGATCCTGCGATGTGTGCAGCTGAGAAATGCCCTCAGCTCCTGCAAGAGTTCGCATTGCACTTCATGGCACTTCAGAGAGTGTGGCACTCAGAATGTACTTCCTTGCTACTGGTAGCTGCTTGTTACTAGGAGCGATGGCCTCCAACCTAATAGCGATGGCCTCCACCTAGTAGCTT